GAGACGCCGGCCCTCTTCGGCTTGCCCCAGATATCGAGACCCGCTTGATAGTTCTTGAAGTTGAGCACCACGAGCGTCTTGAGGTCTTCGGGCGTTTCGAGCTTGCTGCCGTTGACGTACATCTCCACCAGGTTGTTGAGTGACTGGTTGCCTCCACGCATGGTCGAGGACAGGGCACTGAGGCCATAACTGCGAACGGCGCACAAGCATATCAGCGACTGGGCCAAGACGGCGCGACTAGACTCGATACAAAAGGACGTACCCAATCTGGTTCACCTTGCGGGCCTTGAAGAGCTTTTGGTGTCTCTTCCTGAAGCGGTCGAAGCGGTACGATACGCCGGCCTCGAACCCGGCGTTGAAGTAATTGAACATGATCTGCGACGTGGATTCGTTCTCCAAGGGCTCCAGTGTCTCCGGGTCCTTGGGCGTGATCTTCACCATCCAACTGTACGTACGCATCCGCGTCAGCGATAGAGAGGATTAGCAGTCCGCGGGCACACACCTCACCATCATCAACACCACCTTCGGCCAGCTGGCGAGCGAGAGGTGGATGTGGTATAGAAGAAGAGGGAGAGAAGCGGTGACATACATGTCGAGCGGAGTGAGGCAGGCCGAGGTGGCGAACTTGTAGACGAGCTTGAGCACCTTCTTGCGATTGGGATAGACTGAGCCACCCCAACCGAACTGTCGCGCCAAGTCGTTGCCCGTCCCCAGCGGAATGGTGCCCACCTGTAGTCACGGTCATACCATGCTCGTCAGCCCTGTGCACGCACAACACTCGCACGCGACACACCATGAGGGGCGCCAGAGCGGAGCAGGTACCGGAGGCAGAGGACAGATGCCAGCTTCGATCATGGCCTGGATGACGTAGTGGTAGGTGCCGTCGCCGCCACCCACGAGCACGCGCAGGTTGGGCGCATCCTTGAACTGTTCCAGCCTGGCCGGGTAAAGAACGTGAGATTCACCACAACGAGACCGTGGTGTGGAGAAGCTGCAGTACCCTGGCTTGATGCCGTCTGAGATGATGTCGAAGACGTGGTCCTCGCCCAAGATGGCGGCCAGGTGCGGCATGACCATCTCGCCCAGTTGCGCACCCGATCGTGAATTGACGAAAGCGATGACGGTCATCTGGCGTTGATGCAGCAGGCCCTTTAGCTTGTCGATCTTGAGCTCGAGCTTGGCCGTTTTGTGTTCCTTCTTCGCTGCCTTCTTGGCTTGCTTGCCTTTCGGCTTTCTATGCTTGCCCTGGCTGCTGCTCATCGAAAGTGTGCTCTGCCGGCTGTGGAGCAAGTGCTTGTGCCCGCACCGGCTGCCATGAAGATCTGTCGTGCCCGAGGTCGTGGTAGGGCCTTCGACCGCTACCTCCTTCTCCTTGCCTTTGCTTTCGTAGAGCTCTGGAGAGGCGACGTCAACATGCTGTCGCTCGGTTTGCATTTGTTCGATGTAGAATGAGAATGTTCCGAATGTGGTGCTGAGGTGAATAGATGGTCGTTGTGAAAGTGATGGCGGTGAGAGTATATCTATTCTCCTTCTTGCCGGTGGGTTTGTAGATTATGAACGTCCACTCGGGGCTCTCTGCAGATCTCCATCGCGTGCTTGTAGTTGAGTGGCATCTTTGGCGGAGAAGTTGGAGAAAAACGCAACACTTTCCCGCCACTTGGCGCCATCTCGGGTGAGCTCAAAGAAATAAAGATGGCATATTTAAAATATTTATCTCACAACCAGTTCGCACACCGCGTAAATGGAGAAATTCCACAAATGTGACTACTTTGGGGTCGATGAAGGTGATGGAGCTCCTGAGCCTCCTTGAACTCTTCGCAGAGCTTCCACCCACTGTGCCCGTAATCACCGCGAGGACACCAAGAGCGAGGTGGTGATGAGTACACAGGCTTTCCAAGAAGAAGGAAAGCAACACAACGAGATAGCC